TAACAGTACCTTTCAACGACACGCACTTAAAAGCAAACAAAGTACCCTCTCTTGAGAAATCCTGGTAGAGCGAGAGGAATGGTTATTTAAACTAAACCTATACATCTCAATAAAGGTTAGACTTTTATGCCATCTTATTCTTGGAATCTTCATTGATACTACTTTAACTCGCATTGATTTATTTCATAATTTATTTACAGCAAATTAAGAGGGGAGTCTGTTTCAGACTAAAGTGGGATAAAGACATGGAGAAGGAGAGGCAAGGAGGCAAAGATACAGCTCACAAAAGGGACTTACTTCAAAAACAGGCAAGGCAATGGGGGTGTAGATTTTTACAGTGAATCACTTAACAAAATCCAAAGATTTTTCACAGCAAGCAATCACTTGGCATATGTAGAAAAACAGGATTAGGATGGCGTCATACCCAGACAAGAACTTCCTTTTTTACAGCTGCTCAGATTTGCTCTTGGCAGGACATGAATTCTTATAGATCAGTCAACTATCTGCCTGCCCTGATGCCCATCAAAACTGTTCTCCACAGAAGGTAAGCCGTAACTCAAAATAGGTAACGTTTTCAGGAGGAGTGCTTTATTATCATGCCCTCAAAATTAAATACTATATCTCTTATAGTACAAAATGACAAAAGACGAAGTCTTCTATAAAAAGGAAGGGCACTGACTATTCAGTAAAACAGCTAACTCCAGAATTGTAGACTGAAATATAGTATTGCATCCCTATTCATATCCTTTTTTTCCCCCATCCCTATTCATATCCTGCTGGGATTTCAATTAAACTCATTCTGCTTAAGCAAAACTACACAGCTCCCTGACCAAATGTTACTAATTGTTTTTATGATATGGAGAGAAGGCCTCTGTGCAGGAAGAAGTCTTTGGTATCATATAGAAGCTTCCACCTTACCTATATAGATCAGTTCTAAAAACTAAAAGATGAACATAGGGGAAAAGCATAGTCCAGGTCCAGAATACTATCCAGCTCAGGTGTATATCTATTCCTACTGGATAAAATGCAGAAAAGATAATAATGGGCTACAGCCACCCCACTCTTACAAAACTTCTTGTTGTTCTTACAAAAAAAAAATCCTCCTGCCTTTCTTTTTTTTTTTTAAATCATAAAGTGTCATTGAAATGTCTTCTACAGCCAGAAGGAAAATACATCTGCACATATTTATTTTGCATAATTATTCTCCTTCTAAGACTGGAGTTTAAAGCAAGGACAAACAATAGAATGAAAGAGAGAGAAAGGAGGAGGAACACTGCATAGTGACAGGATGCTCAACAGTGGCAGTGGTAATAGTAATCGAAGGGAAAAGGGAGCTGCTGAAGTCTCCAACGCCTAATCTGAGTCACTGCACAGGGAACAGCCCCCCCCCCCATTCCAGAATTTCCAGAATTTCACTGTGCAGGGTAATAGCAGGCCAGTAACTCTTAGTGGGGCCAATTTACAAATCATTGGGTGGGGGGAGATTCAGCATTTTTGGAAGTCCCTTCTCCCCTCCTGTAATGGCTGACAGCCAGTACTGAAATGTTTTATATTGCTTATTAGTGCATCCTGAATATAAGATCCAAAAGTTCTCCCACTGGCCCTTTATAAAGTGACACCCAGAAAACAGGAGCCAAACCTAACGTTAAGCGGTTGTCTGATGGCCATGAGGCACAGAAGTCTCACTGACTGTATTGTCTGTGTGATACAGTCATGCATGTTTATAAACAGAGTTGCCTTGTCTGGAGTGCTGCTTGTGTGTCCTATTTTTTTATTTTTGACTCAGAGGCATTCGATGATAATACCGTATACTTGGTAGAGGTAGTGGAATAAATGTTAAGAACCACTGGTTTAGGTTTATATGCTAAACGATAAACTTGTGCTGTATTTCCTGAACTAGTTCAGGGAAGACTCAAGTCTGCACACTCCCTCTTCTGCCTTCATCCCCCTCCAGGAGGCATGAACAAATTAGCTACTTTTTGGGTTTTGGCAAACCACGGTTTTCTGTGATGTCTGAAGTGGCAAATATGTTTTACATTTGTCTTACGAGCCAGGATGGCAAGCCACAGGCAGCCCTGGTTTGCAGGGCTATCACTAACCATACCTTGACGATTCTGATGCAACGAACAGGGAGCAAAAGAACTGTTGTTGTTCAGTCGCACAGTCAAGTCCGACTCTTCGCGACCCCATGGACCACATCACGCCAGGCCCTCCTGTCTTTCATCATCCTCTGAAGTTTGCTTCATTTCATGTTCAGCAAAAGAACACGAGCCCAAAGCTCCCACCAGGCTCATTCAAGTCAACACTAACTCATGGTCTCGCCCTACATATGAACCAAGATACTGAGATTTTTTTTTTTTTTTTTTAAAGCAGAGTTAAAGGTTTCACATCCCAGAGTAAGATAATTACTGGGACAGAAAATGCTCTGTAAATTAAAATTACTGCACCAATTTAAACAGACTAAATTGACGCCATTCATCCAGTCAGAGCTGGTCTCAACCAACACAGAGAAAGCGAAAGAGTTTTACAAGGTTTTCAATAAAATGTTGCTAGAGCTAGACAAATTTCTTTTATTACAGAAAACTATTTAAGATGCACACTGTTGTATTGTTTTTGGAATGCAAACAGTGGCATTTCTTTTTGTTTATACTACAGTGGGTCACCAGCGCACAGCCACTGAGTGTATCAAATTTTCATTGCCTCTCTGTAACCCAAAGCCCGTCCAAATGCAAGTGTTTTACTCCTACATACTTAAAGAACAGGAATAAGGGACTGTTTCCCTTGCAAAAGAGAATTTATATGGGCATACTATAAAAATAGGTCTCTGCAACTATTTCTGTCGTACATTTATTGGCCTTCGTAAGGGACAGGTTTGTGGCACTATAATGCATTTTTACTAGCTGAGATTTTACTTCCATGCAAGTAGGAACTCCTTGAAGTTCAGGGATCGACCCCTACTCCCCATTTCAGTCAGTACAATATCAGAGATGTTGTATTATGAATGCCTTTCCCCTGCCTACCCTCTATTTCTCCATTTCATATTACTTAGCATGTTACAAAGCCCCCGGATAGATCCTGAGCGGAAAGAATGTTCAATCAACCTTATAGAGGGTACAGTTTTGGAATCCTGTGTGTCCTGAACACAGCCCATTTCTTTACTCAGCCCCCTGCATTACATTATATCTTTTTATTGGGGATAAAAACCCTCCAGTTAAGTTGTCCTGTAGCAAGATGGTCACTGTTCACAGGTGTAGACCCAATAAGCCTGGAAATACACTGGAGAACATTGACATTCACCACATTTCAGTCATTCATTGAATCATACATGCACAAGTTTATGCCTGACTTTGGAATCAGAGGTCCCCCTTTCTTGAGATATGTTAGTGTTGTCTTGTTTTTCAAACAAAAATAATCAAAAGGAGACCACAAGCCATTACAGACTTCTAGACTGTCAATGAAGAAACCCTTTACCCACAAGACTCCAAGGGGCCAGTTCTTGCACATGGTTTTTACAAGGCAGTATTCCAGGGAGGTAAATTTAATCTACTTTGCTTCAGACTATACTACATTGCCTCTTTTGATAGCTCTCCATTCAGCTACTCCTGGTTTCGGTCTTGCACACACTTTTTAGCAGCCGCTGTCTCCCAATCAGATGAGACACAAAGAAAAACCCCTTCTTGGCCTATCACCATGTCCAGGAACAGAGAAGGAGCAAATATGTCATGTTGTTGTCTATATTGCAAGGCAAGTAAGATGGACTAGTAGTGGATGATTCAATATTACCTAAGCTTCAGAGGAAGTGTGTTCTTATAGATCTGAGTATTGTCTGCTTTTAGCCCAAGGAGGTACAAGCTTTTGATTTGCTTGCAAACTCAAATTCTTTGGAGAGCAGAAGCCTGTAACTGAGACAAGTGAAATTGCCTTGCTATTCATTTATGCTGCTTTCACTTACCATGAACCCATTTAAGAAGCTGACACTCTCTAGCTTTAGGTATACTAATTAGGATGCAAGGCTCTCCCAGCCAGTAACTAGCCATGCATGGATTCTCAGCTGCAAATAAAGTCATTTAAAATGGCTTCTATTTTATATAGAAATCTTCTATCACAGGGCCTTGAGTTTCCCTCTGTCACACTCATCAGCAATAGGAAGAGGCTAACACTCTTAAGAACCCATTCAAATTAAAGTTTGGGGTGCAGGAGAGGAGTCTTACATTGTAGATTAAGAAAATGAATATACGTCTAAGAGAATAGTACATATCTAAGAAAAAGATGGAAGACTGTTTCACAGACAGCCTTAAAGATCTCCATTATACTAATTATGCAGCAGAGTCCTATTTTCCATCACACTATTGCCAGCAAACCAACAAAGAACATATCCAAGCTATTTAGAGTCTATTTACATCTGATAATATATATGCTGTCATCTGGGAAGTCCCCAGTTCAAATATTGCCTTCTCTACCACAAATTCACTAGGTAGCCATTTCCTCTCAATCATCTCAGTTCCCCACCTGCAAAGCGGGGGTAATAATGCTAGCCCCTCTCACCTGTTTCTATGGACAACAAGATAACATGCAAGAAATGCATGGAACATTGCAAAGCGATATACAAATGTTTATTATTACTGCCAGCAAATGGGTGATTGTGCACTGAAGATACAGCACGGAAGGGTAGAGGCAAGCTACTCAGCAAGGTTTAATGGAATTGCAAATACACAGTTTATTTTAAAAATGTTTTGAGATTCTATTTTATACCTTAGGCAATGTTACCAACATATGGAGATAATGTGACCTTTTTTGAAGCAGAGAGACATATACTTTTGGCATGTATACTTAGGCCAGATAGAAGCACTATCCTCTTATAGACCTAGTATCTGGCCAGCAATATAGGTAGGTGCTTCACATGTGCTTGTAAATGGTCTACAGTGGGAGGGGGGGGGCAGCAGTGGCACAACAGTTCATCGCCATATTCTAACTCAAAAGGCAAGACAGATAACACATACCTGATTTTGGAATTACAGGTCATTTCATTCTCAGGGTAATGAATATCAACTGCATCCTGGATGACTGTGCCATATTCGTAGACTTTAATCTTCTTTGTCACCCCAGCAATGGCAAAATAGTCACAGTCTCGGTCAAACTCAATGCTAAGAAACAAAAACACACACAAAAACAGCAACAAAAAAGCTATTAATACACACATATCCATAGCCCAAACATTAAGAAACACTGCAGATTTGAGATCTCCTGAGTCAGCAGAACTCTGCTCTCTATCAGTTGATTTGAAATGGTGAGGTAAGAGGAGAAATAAAAGCAAAAGAACAAGCAAATGAAAGGGGGGGGGAAGAGGTAAGGAAGGGGGATTTTATTCCTGTCTATGTTAAGACACTTTACTTTGGGGCACTACACGAAAAGTAAGTTGGCAGACCTAGGTGAGCCACTGGCAAACACTTAACACCTGACCTGAGCCAAGGTAAGCCATTTCAATGCACAGTCAGATCATGACCTCTTTACCCACTGACTCTCCTTACTGTGGCTCCACAATAGCTCTCCTGCAGCTGGGTAGTTTTGCCCAGATTGCCAGCCTTTGTTTTTATTCCTTACTACTTTCACAATACTGACAGCTCACACTGCGAATGCAGAGGGAAGGATTTGACCTGTAGTGAATTACTATGGGCCACGGGAGAACTGCCGAGTGATTTCCTTTACAGCCAAGAATCCAATTCCAGGAGGAGAACTGTGCTAGTCCGTTGCAGTAAAAAACCAAACAACAGCCTCGCAGCACCTTGAAAGCTGATAATACCTTCTTCCAGCATAAACTGCCTTGGTTTAAAGGTCACTTTTTCAGATGCAACAAATGGACTCTCAGTATGCATTCCTTTCATGTAGGGGTACATGAAAATAAAAGGAAAAAGAACTAGCAGGGACAAGTGGTCATGAAATTCAGGAAGTACACAGTGAAGTATTACTAGGTGCACATTCAACTTTAATCATGTAAATTATTATTTAATGTAAAATATTTGTATTGAAAGCAGCTTACAAATCTAAACGTAAGATGGTGTTCCAGATAAAAATGCCACACAGATAATAAAATGAGACGGAACAAGTCCTGAAGAGCCCAACATGATTACGATGTCCAACATTTTTCAATTTCTGTGCCACCATGACAGCAGGAAGCCAGATAAAACCACACAGTGAGATCTACCACCATCAGTGTGAACTCAAACCTTCTCTTCTCAGACTGTCTGTGAACGTCATGGGAGACATTTGTAAACTCTAAATGTCCTTCAAGAATCTTAGCTATCATAGTGCCTGAAAGAGCAGATTGCAGATGTTTCTCCCTTTCAGCTATGGCAGCATGGAAATGCCTATTCACTTGGTTGATGGTGCTGTTACTGCTACCACCACCTTATTGGTTCTCCAAACCCCACTATATGCTGTGTTCACTGCATTACTGCCACATATATCAACAACAGAAGAAGAGAGAAGAGATTGGATTTATACCCCACTCTTCACTACCTGAAGGAGTCTCAGAGCGGCTTTCCATTCCCCACAACAGTCACCCTGTGAGGTAGATGGGGCTGATAGAGCTCTTTCGAGGACTACACTTTCCAGAACAGCTCTCAGAGAACTGTGACTGACCCAAGGTCACGCCAGCAGCTGCATGTGGAGGAGTGGGAAATCAAGCCCGGTTCTCCCAGATTAGAGTCTGCACACCTAAGCACTACACCAAACTGGATCTCAGTGGCCGAATGGCTTAGAGAGAATTTACTAGTTACGCTAAACTAGTTAACACCTGTAATGGGTAAGGAGTCCCAGGTTTTGCTAAGACAGTTAATGCCTGCAATGAGTGAAAAAATCTCAAGAGTCACTTAAGTTGGAGGAAGACCCCCAAGGCTTGCTGAGTGGAGTGGTAGGACAGAGGTCACCCCTCCCACACCCAGGTTGATTAACAAAGTTCCAAGTAACACAAACAGGTACTACCAATAAAGAGATCCCATTTCATTTAGTTTCCTCATTTTGCCATAAAAGTGTATCTAACTGTCAATGGTAACACTCTGTGGATACTTAAATCTGGAGATTGGCGCCATGAACAGACAAGACAGACCTTTCTACAAACCTGAGAAATGCCAAGGTTTAAAGGAAAACCTGAACTCTTAAAAAAAACCCTGGAGGGATTAAAAACCCCAAAATAAGAGAAGCCGTGCCTGTATCTTAAGAAATGAATGCCCTCTGAGATCTCACTGGTCATTGTGGGGGTTGCTAGACATCCAAAACAATATTGCCTGGCTTCAAACCTTGATTTTTGTCAGTAAAAAGCAGGGTGCAGGGCCCTTTTGAGGGCTACTTTGGCCTCTCAGGCCAGTACTGCTTCCCACGCTTTTGCCCTAGAAGGAAGATTCACTGGGCCCAGGGCCAGAAGCAAGCACTGGGCAACTTCCTAGCTTGCAATTGGCAGAACCCACCTAGGAGCCATGGTGGCTACCAGACAACCTGATGCCACATAACTTGTCTGAGCCCAGCAAAAATTTCCACACAACTCGCGTGACTTGGCCAGGCCAAGCACTGGCCACCATACAACTTACCTGAGCAACCTGCTACCTCAGGATTTTTGAAACTTGGCCAGACTTTTCCCATGGATTAGCTACCAGGGGAGGGAAGGAAGGAACACTGAGACTCAGTGGGGTATAGTGCTTAAAATGTCAGACTAGGTTATGGGAGATTCAGGTACAAGTCCTCACCCCACCATGGAATTTTGTTGGGTGACTTTGGGCCAGTCACTCCATCTCTGCCTTATCTACCTCACAGGGTTGCTGTGAGGGTAAAACAGAGGACAGGAGAATGATATAAGCTGCTTTAAGTCCCCAGTGGGGAGAAAGGTTGATATAAATAAAGCTGAAGAATGGCAGTAAAAGGTAAAGGTAAAGGTTCCCTTGCTCGAAAGCCAGTCGAATCCGACTCTAGGGTTGCGGTGCTCATCTCCGTTTCACAGCCAGCGCTGTCCGAAGACGTTTCCGAGGTCATGTGGCCGGCATGACTAAACACCAAGGCGCATGGAACACTCTTACCTTCCCACCGAAGTGGTACCTATTTATCTACTTGCAATTTCTTGCTTTCGAACTGCTAGGTTGGCAGGAGCTGGAACTAGAGACGGGAGCTCACTCCGTCATGCGGCACCCGGGTCTCGAACCGCTGAACTACCGACCTTCTACAGCCTGCAGTTCAGCGTCTTAACCACTTGAGCAGAGGGGCAGATAAAAGGTTAGTTTGGTAACTGGAAGGAGAAAAGGAAACAAAGAAAGAGGAGAGGACACGCGGACTGCCAGGAAGAAAGGGGAAGTCGCGTGGGGAAGGGGATACAGGGAAAAGTGAAGTGACCCCTGCAAGTTCCTGCAAGTTTTCCACATCTAATAGAATTTACCTCATGTCGTGACATGACCTTCTGCACTGTTCTATCATACACCACTGGTGATTTGTGACATAATGGGACATGCAGAATACACAGTGGTATCGTAACATGAAGTAAGTTCCTCCAGGCATTACAGAGTTGGAACAGTAGCACTAGATACAGGGTGGCCCTTATTGGCAGCAGGAGCACAGTTAACTGTAGCATCTAGCTTGGTCCACGGTTAATTCACAGAATAATCCCCATGCTTCATTTTATCCTGAACATTTTAAAAAAAGAAAAGATTCCAAGTCTTATAACAGCATCTGAGAAATAAAGATGGACCACAGATAAGGCACATCCCTATTCATCTGCTGTATGCAGATGTCTCCTGAGAATATTAGTATATTAAAAATAAAGTCCCAACCAGAACAATGATGGCTGCTGATAAGCAAGACATTCTTGTCAAATATGAAAGAGCAGAATATGTATGTGAAGATACTTATCTGGTCACCTTACAGCTTTCTGTACTTGGCAAGAACCGCAGAGGATGAAATGCAGGTCCCTGATGGTGGCAGACCAAAAGGGCTATTCCATTGGGGGTTTTGCACACCAGAAACACAGAACTAAAAAAACATGACAAAACCAACTTTTCCCACCAAGTTAATTCCCATTTCAAATGCTCGCTACTGAAGGGAGACGGCGTCAATTAAACACATGCCATTCAGTTAATCCCTTGCTAAAGCATGAGTTTCACAGCTTTCTTTCTCAAGGTGCGTCCAAATCAAATATTTCATTTCTCAGGGTCCTGGTATGGCTCTTCGAGTTTCCAAAATATGCAAAATTGTGTCTCCTGGAATTTTAGGCACAGGAGTTTCTCCTTTGTGCAAGACATACAGTGGCACAAATCATTTTTTTTTTTGTTAAAACAGCCAAAGAGGGGAAAGTGGCAACAGAAGAGTAGTCAGTCTAATAATGGAAGAGCTTCTCATTCTTTGAGAAGAAGAGCTGAACTATCTTGCTGGACCCAGGGCTCCTCACTTTTGGCTTGTTCCTGCTCAGTAACACAGGTCAGCCGTTCTCAGGCTGCACTGTCCAAAGGCAGCAGAGCTGCCATAGCATTGATTTGCTGAGGATCTCCACACTGAAACGGAATACACCTTTTCTTCTGCCTAGCGATGATGCGGAACACAGAAATAAAGGACAGTTTTGGCCAAGGTGCTCAACCACTACATGAATGTGCAGGCTAACACTTTTTGGCTTCAGCTGTATTGATGGGGAGGAAGAGGATTGGGGGGGGGGGGTTTTTGCAATATTTTTCAGCATATTTGCACACCCAAATTTGACCTTGGTAAACTTAGTAAGAAATCAAGTTCTCACCAGTCTCAGTGCACATTTGGCAACAGGTATGAATATACAAGGTTACCTACTGAAATATCCTTTGGCTCGAGAAAAAGAATTTGCTGCTTGGGTAAACCCTAACCAGTAAGCCCTACAAACTTTATCACACTGCTGTTTTTCTAAAGCTGACATGGAGAACAAAGAGCTAATGGCAGGCAGATGGCCTATGCATTATGAAGACAATGAAACCCAGGCCAAAAAACAATCAATTTGGAGTGCAGTTGACTGGAACTGCAAGTTTAAGACTACCTGGGGATATCTCTGTAGTTTTCATGGCTATTACTACATACTCCGTATTTTAGTATTTATTACATTTGTACCCTATCCTTCCTTTGAGAGCATATACTGAATTATCCAATT